AAAACAACCAAAAAAAAAAAAAAAATTTTTTAAAATAAAAAAAAAAAAAAAAAAAAAAAAAGAAGAAGAATGAAAAAAGCACAGAACAAAATTACTAAAAATAAAAATAAAATGAAATTGATAATTCAATATATTTAAAACTATAATAGTACTATAGCTCAAACAGCAGAGCATGATGCTTGTAATGCCACTAACATGGGTTCGATTCACATGGAATGCATGAACACGAAAAATTTTCATGCAATGCAAGTCGATTTGGATAAAAGTGTCTGTCAAATGCATAAATGTATGACTGTAATTTCTGAGAGTGAAATTTGCTGCATGTACTATACCACTGATACGCAGCTAAACTGACCAGAATAAACAGGTTTATCTGGTCCTGATATGAGACAGGGTTAGTATCACACCAGTCTCAGGTTAACATGTAATATTTAAGCTAGTTGCATATTTTAGAGGTTTTTCACATCACTGCATGCTGGCCCACTACATATTCATTGTAAGTGCATTACTGTAAACATACTTCTGTCATTTTACAAACTGAGGGATGATTCAAAAATAATTTTTGTAGCAATCAACAGCATGCTTCTTTTCTTAAATTAATGCTAACGGCATATGCTTGTTCCTTGCATATCATTTGAATTATTATAAAATGATAACGTATAACTGCGCATTTGAACTTACTCGCTCTCCCTCCAGTCCTGGCGGTCCTGCAACTCCTGGAGGTCCGATGAAGCCCTGATACAGAAAAACAGACACACGTCACCGATAGATCAAAACCACATGTTTACAGTACATTTGTCAAACTCCACCTACACAACATCTTTCATCAGAGTGTCCCCAAATTGTGTTCAGATTATCCTGATACTATGCCGGTCAAAAGTTGTTAAGAGTGCTCTGATGTACCATTTACGAATAATGCATTAATAAATTCAATGGCAAAGAACAAGACGCAAGCCTGTATCTGTGAAATGCTTTGGTATATTGGAACGAAATTTGGTGCAAGTCACCGACTCCATGCCATGATGGTACAAGAGCAGTTAAGAGACAGCGCCACCTACTGGACTAGAAAAACAGAATTTTTAATAAGCCATGAGCCTAAAATCTCCACCAATGCTATGACTGAACAAACCTACTTACAGTATTGATACTATTGGGTTGTCTAGCCACATAATTTCAGATTGCTGTATTTTGATTTCAAAATTACTTGCTAAAAACTCGACTGATCTTATTTCCTCACCAGATTATTAACACAGATTCACTTTGAACGACAAGATACAGCCTCATTTATCGTCCTCATTTTATCTGTCACCTTTTAAAACTGTAGATTACTTTCGATCTAATTGATTTACAAGTAATGTACACATAATGCAGCTTACTTCCTTCAGTAACACACAGAACAATGTGCTCATGTCAGCATCAGGTGTGATAACGTCATTTTTTTCACGTGTGAGCGATTGCTTGTGTTTTTGTTTGCTGTTGAGTGCTATATATGCCATTCTTCTTCTTGTTAAGTGAGAAAACATGTACTATCGGTCAGAGATGAAAGAAACGGCCCTCCTTCTGTCTCTGCACATTCCTGTGCCATGGCACACTGCCAGATGTTGAAAGGACTTGCGTTTCTGAAAAAGGCAACATCTCTGAGATGCAGCAGTCGGATCTTGACTTTGGACAGCTCACTGATTCTTGAGTACTGGGACAAAACAGGCTAGAGGACTGCAAAAATAAAAGGTCATGCATCATGGAATAATTTTAAGATGAGAATCTGTTCTACATGTTCAGATGTACTCACCAACTTTTGGGTGCAACTACCCATTTCTTATATTTTGCCCCAAAATGTGTTTTTTCTTCACTGTTGTACGGGTCAACAGCAACAACAAATGCAAAAATAATTTGCAAGGTTCTGATCTTCTCTTCATTCTCCTTTCAACTTCCCAGAGATCCTCTATATATCTATCTCTTTGTTATCTGTTCTTGTGGCTTTCAGTGAGATGATGTAAGAGATCAGTCACTATATTTTGACAGGAAACCATGAGACGGCTGCTGTACGTACATTGACACCTTTAGGTCCAGGGTTTCCCTCCGGTCCTGCCAAACCCTGCAAGACAAAAGACATCAACGTTACACATGATCACATGTTACACATGACACATACATACAACAGACATCACGAATCCTGCAAAAAACACATCCAGGTCATATTTTACCATAAAATCAAAATGAAAAAATTAAATGTGCTTAATTGCTATAAAAACACAAATGTTAATTAATAAATAAAAAAAATAAAAAATCTTACAAAAGTCCTTTTTTAAAATACAAAATCAAAATTTTCTTTAGATTTTTTGGGGGTTGTTTTCATCTCTGTACTCGGGACTAAACTGTCCCTAGCAATAATGTTGATCAAACAATTAAATGTATATGTAACCATATATGTAACCGTATATGTAATTTCGGCCGCATCTAATCGGATCGCATATCGTGAATCATTTGATTCAGAACGGGACTTTGCAGTGGGTTCGCAAATCATTTGCCTCAGATCTGGACTTCAGAGCGCGTATCGTGAACTAACACCTTAAGAAGACACATGTGATGAATACAGAGATGCAGTTTTGACTGCTTTAGGATTAACAGAGGTTTGGATAGTTTCCATGTACTTGTCTAGATCAACTTGGGAAATTTAGCTAGCAGGAAACACAAATTAATGAAGTTATATTTTCCTATGTTCTCTTTTGTGTAGTCAAACAATCCAAAGAAAACTTCTTTAAAACAGAAAGAAAAGTCATTTACAAAATGAGACTGGATGAACATTAAACAAATCTGACCAAAATTTCTCATTGCCAAAACAAGTGAAGGACATCTTCCTCAGAAGAGTGATAAAAACAGCAAAAAACAGCAACTTGGAAAGAAAACATCTGCAACACAAGTGTTTATTTTATTGAACTTTATCTATTTGCATCTGTAGATTTAAATTAAAATCCATACCTTTATTCCTTAAAACAAGGTAAAAAAAAATAAAAAATTCTGGCTGCTGACAGTATTTTCTGATTTATGGAGTGATAAAAAGATAATTCCAAAATACCCTCAGTAAAAACCTCTAACTCTAATATGTCAACGAAATCAAGCTAGAATTTTGAAACTGGCTTTATCCAATGTTCAGATTTATGTCCTGTAAATGTATGCAAACTAGAACAATTGTCTTAAAGTTCTGATATTAACCAGTTGGGGAAGTATGGTGATTTCTATTAGTTTAATTTTTACCTGATTCACCTTGCCTTAAAATGTTTATCATTGCACATTGTGTACTGTTTCACAAACTACTTTTAAAAATACTTGGCAACATACAGTATACTGCGCAGTACATTCTGAACAGCTGCCTGATAATACATTTAAATTTAGAATCAAGCTTAATATTTCAAATTTTGGAACAAGATGAAGTAACACAGTTTTTCTTGTTTTTTTAGTGGATATTGGTCACTGCACCTGCCTGCCAGGGTAACCTGTTGCCCCAGATATGCCCGGCAATCCTGGCAAACCCTGAGGAGAAAATAAGGAAAAACGTGAATGAGAGATGAGAGCGGCTGCCAGTGGACGAATAGAGCCGCTATTGTTCCCTGTGGCATCTCTTTCTCAAAGCATCCACGGGCCGGAGCGGCTCTCCGCGGCCTGACCCTGGCTGAAGTCCAGACGGCGGCTCCTCTCCGCTGCGAGACTCCAGCACGGATCATCTTTGCATCAGATGACTGCATATAAAGACTGCGCTTTGTGACTGAATGAAACTTTCCATGTATTGAGTTCCAAACCTTCCGGACTCAGTTATTGAGGAGGTACAAAGGTACAACTCATAGATCTGTTTAATGCCATGTCAAACATGCAGGGAGGGATGGAGAGAGAATTAAACCAGATCGTGTGGGCAAAATATGTGCGACAGGATGGCTGCTATATGAAAGAGAGATTAAATATAATGCTAAAACCTAGCAGTCAACTTCAGGATGCTTGAAACTGATGTTCAGCTCCTATTGAAGAAAATCTGACAGGTGTTGACAAAAAATATACATTTTGCATTTCACACATGCATTAACATACATGCTAGTTTGTTAGTTAGTTTATTTATTTATTTGTTGCTACTAACAGGAACCACTTAAATTGAGGGAATTTATCGAAAAATCTTGAAATTACAAAAAATCTATAAAACTCAACAGTTGTGTGGCCTTATTAAACTCACATAAGGTGAAATTTAGATTTTATGAATGTTTAGCAGAGACACCACCATGAAATATTATGAAATATGAATATTTAATATCTGTTTGAATTTGAATTGTATTGCTTTATAGTCCGGAGGTCATTTACATATCTTCAGTACAGTAAAGCAATTAATTAATCTAGTATAAATGCTGCTTTGACTTGTTAAACTGTTCAGACTGCATTAATTTTAAATAGCATTAGCACTTTTTCTAAGCAACTTGTAGCAACCATTTACCAAAAGGCAGCTACACTGTAATTTGGCTACTTTAAAGAAAACGTTAGCGGTGATTACCCATGCAATAGTCTGCCGTGTTTTTTAGTGCATTGCTTACTGTATCAATATTACACAGAAAACTGGATCAAAGATGCAAAAATAAAAATAGGGTAATTTTCAAGATGATCACTCCATAGCAATGCACTAAAAGAGCAACTTAGTATTTACACACCTAGTATTGTGGCAGCGGCTTTTGCATGGGCAAGCAGCATTAACGTTTTTATTAAAGTAGATCAATTACAATAAAACTGCTTTTTGAAAAATGTAGCTATAGTACAATTTGCTAATTGAAAGCAGCTAATTATTGAAGGTATATAAAGAAGACAATCCGCATAGTTTATTTAACAAATCACAGCTAGCTTTACACTACTAATAATTCATGCAACACTTGCTACTAAAAAAATAGTTTTACTTTCAAGCTACTTAAGTTCATAATAGCAGTGATACTTGACTTAGCAAGTACCACTAGTTAAATATGGCTTGTGGTCTGAAAAATTACAGCTTCAAAGCAGCTTCCCGGACACTAAATTATTGAAGCGGTAGTTGAACATGTCAATGTGAGGACCTCACAAACAGGTTGACATCCAGACATGCGTTTCATCCGCTCACCTGTTCTCCGGGCAGACCTGCTGGTCCAGGATAGCCTTTGGGACCCTGCAGGTGAAAAAAAAGAAAGCAGATGACTCGACTCTTTTACAGAATGCCGGTAAGAATGCAAAACAAAGAATTTTCCCATTTCCCTACAATGTTAAGAACAAGGAGAAACAGAGAGACTTGTACTTGATGTTCTATCTTTTCCACATTTCTGGGGATTTTTTTTGTGTGCCTAAAGTCCCAGTGGCCTCAGATAAGACTAATAGCCCTTAAGAATTTCCCCAGAACTGTCAAAACCCTTTAAAGCCATCCGCGTCTGACAGCTCCAGCTCAAGCCCATGAGAGAAAGACAAGTCACGACAATGAGACGGGGAGGGGAGGTCAGAAAACCTCACCTTGAAACATTTCTTGTGTGCTGGAACCAATCAGTGCCAATTTTATTGATGCACAACAATGCAATCCTAAAGTCAGTTGTGCAAATATATCTCCAAATGGAATAGTTTGATATTTAGATTTAATAGAGGTACCGACAGCTGTCTGCCAGCAGGAGGCGCAGTGTGTCGGACCGAGCTGAGAGGCGCAAGTGTGGTGCAATCCTTTGATTTGGAAAATTCCAGGCCTTCTGCGGAGTAGCCGAGAGGACAATGTCGCATCAGAGAGGTCACTGTGATTTACGCCTGACCTGGTCTGGACCTGCAGGACTATTTCTGCTCAAGCTCTTTAAACATTTTACTGCAAAAGCTGAGTGCTCCAGATACTAATGACCTATAAAAACAGCATTTAAACGGACTGCTTAAGTTTAGCACGCTCAAGATCAAAGACTCCGGCATTCAGCAGGAGTGAGGTGAGGTGGTTCATCATGAAATAAAAGTCAAGACAATTTGACCACTTCTACTAAGGACTTTTCACAATCAACTCCCATTCTGCATTGTTACCTCACTGAGTATCTTGTTTCACTCTGAACAGGTCACATTATGTGTAAAATTGGATGCCTTCACCTATGCAGGTAAACAAAAAGTTGTGCAACAAATGACTCAGTAGCTTTTAGGATTGGTATCCCAGCCCGCAGCTCAGATGGGTTGATAAAGCAAGAAACGTGGACAAACTTAATTTGATCAGACTCTAAGTATTTTGAATGCATGCTGACATGAAGCCATTTGTCTTTGGAGGTAAATCAATGACTTCTCTCATGACTTGATCTATTATATCAACGGTTCTGGTTTCACCTCCAGATCCGGCCAGGATCCACAAACCTAACCCTACAGATCTGCTTTTTATCACTTCCCGGGTTGCGACAACTGACCTTTCAAAATCAACTAAAAGCCCCTACGCAACAGAAAAGAGCTTTCCAAAAGGCCTCCATTTCCAAAGAAAACTCCACTTGGAGAACATTAATTTTCAGACAGTTGAGAAACACAAAAACAGTCTCGACTGTGCTCTTGGGATTGCAAGTGAAAATCCGATTACAATTGGCCACTGTTAGCAAAATGAGCTCTGGCCAACAATTTCTAGTCAAAACTGAAAGGACTTTACAAGGCCTTTGGTTCTCTTCACCTCGCAAACCAAAACAAGAGCTACTGAATACCCCTCATGATATCTGCTAATGCTCTCTCAACAAACTACCAGCTTCCCGGACACTAAATTATTGAAGCGGTAGTTGAACATGTCAATGTGAGGACCTCACAAACAGGTTGACATCCAGACATGCGTTTCATACGCTCACCTGTTCTCCGGGCAGACCTGCTGGTCCAGGATAGCCTTTGGGACCCTGCAGGTGAAAAAAAAGAAAGCAGATTACTCGACTCTTTTACAGAATGCCGGTAAGAATGCAAAACAAAGAATTTTCCCATTTCCCTACAATGTTAAGAACAAGGAGAAACAGAGAGACTTGTACTTGATGTTCTATCTTTTCCACATTTCTGGGGATTTTTTTTTTGTGCCTAAAGTCCCAGTGGCCTCAGATAAGACTAATAGCCCTTAAGAATTTCCCCAGAACTGTCAAAACCCTTTAAAGCCATCCGCGTCTGACAGCTCCAGCTCAAGCCCATGAGAGAAAGACAAGTCACGACAATGAGACGGGGAGGGGAGGTCAGAAAACCTCACCTTGAAACATTTCTTGTGTGCTGGAACCAATCAGTGCCAATTTTATTGATGCACAACAATGCAATCCTAAAGTCAGTTGTGCAAATATATCTCCAAATGGAATAGTTTGATATTTAGATTTAATAGAGGTACCGACAGCTGTCTGCCAGCAGGAGGCGCAGTGTGTCGGACCGAGCTGAGAGGCGCAAGTGTGGTGCAATCCTTTGATTTGGAAAATTCCAGGCCTTCTGCGGAGTAGCCGAGAGGACAATGTCGCATCAGAGAGGTCACTGTGATTTACGCCTGACCTGGTCTGGACCTGCAGGACTATTTCTGCTCAAGCTCTTTAAACATTTTACTGCAAAAGCTGAGTGCTCCAGATACTAATGACCTATAAAAACAGCATTTAAACGGACTGCTTAAGTTTAGCACGCTCAAGATCAAAGACTCCGGCATTCAGCAGGAGTGAGGTGAGGTGGTTCATCATGAAATAAAAGTCAAGACAATTTGACCACTTCTACTAAGGACTTTTCACAATCAACTCCCATTCTGCATTGTTACCTCACTGAGTATCTTGTTTCACTCTGAACAGGTCACATTATGTGTAAAATTGGATGCCTTCACCTATGCAGGTAAACAAAAAGTTGTGCAACAAATGACTCAGTAGCTTTTAGGATTGGTATCCCAGCCCGCAGCTCAGATGGGTTGATAAAGCAAGAAACGTGGACAAACTTAATTTGATCAGACTCTAAGTATTTTGAATGCATGCTGACATGAAGCCATTTGTCTTTGGAGGTAAATCAATGACTTCTCTCATGACTTGATCTATTATATCAACGGTTCTGGTTTCACCTCCAGATCCGGCCAGGATCCACAAACCTAACCCTACAGATCTGCTTTTTATCACTTCCCGGGTTGCGACAACTGACCTTTCAAAATCAACTAAAAGCCCCTACGCAACAGAAAAGAGCTTTCCAAAAGGCCTCCATTTCCAAAGAAAACTCCACTTGGAGAACATTAATTTTCAGACAGTTGAGAAACACAAAAACAGTCTCGACTGTGCTCTTGGGATTGCAAGTGAAAATCCGATTACACTTGGCCACTGTTAGCAGAAGGCTGACCTAAAACGAGCTCTGGCCAACCATTTCTAGTCAAGACTGAAAGGACTTTACAAGGCCTTTGATTCCCTTCACCTTGCAAACCAAAACAAGAGCTACTGAATACCCCTCATGATATCTGCTAATGCTCTCTCAACAAACTACCCTCACAAACCCTCCTACTCAAGTCACGGACCTTAAATATTACAAAAACACATTCTCTAGCTGAGTTACGTGAGCTAAAACTTACACCAGTTGCGCTTTTGAAGATGCAACATAGGACTGTTCATGTCATCAGGAGCGTGCCACCCTGCAGAGTGCCTTTCCTCTAAAAGACGACCCTTGACCTCTGCGGGGTCTCAGGTTCTATAGGGGCTCCCAGGTGACAGCGAGTCCCCGAGCAAAGTTACGTCTTGAGAAGTGTGAACAGAGCTTCGCCTGCCTCAAAAACACTACACAGGGTCTTTATTCTGGTTCGTAACCCAATCCAGCCGCTGCTCAGAGGGGCCTTGCCGCTGTGGTGGTGGTAACGGATACTGTATGACTGCTGTGGAGAATGAAACACTGCATCTCACCGAGGCAAACAGCCCATAATTCAGCTGAAATGGGCTCTCTGGCAGTAAGGTAGAACAGAAGGACTTACCTTTAGACCTGGTTCACCTCTAGGACCCTGTGGACCCAGCCGTCCTCTTTCACCCTGAAATAGTAAAAGAGAAGAAACTCAGTGTTGACCTTCATCACCTAAGGGTCATACTTAGATGACGAAAACAGAAGCAATTTAAGCACAAGCATTTCTGCCACCATTTACTCTTCGCCCTAATTTTTCAATGCTTTTCTTTCTGGGAAATCAAACAAACACCCATATTTTGTATAATGTGCATGCTTCTTGTTTCCATTGAATTAAAATGAGTAGGAATTGGAGCTGCTGAGCTCCACAAATGACCAAAAAAGCACCATAAAAGGTCATCATTGTCAAATTGTGCCTGCATTCTCCACCGAATTTGATATTAATGGTTGTTGTGTGTCTTGTGAATGATCTCCATTGATGCCAAACCCGACAAGACACATTTTGATTGACACTTTGATATCTGAATTAAACATGTTTTGGCATTTTTGGTGCCAAGATTTCCCGACCATTTTTATTGTAGAGCAGCTTTGAAATTCTGCACAAGTTTTGCTTTAGTTATGTGTTCCATGTAACAAGAGAGTCCTACGGATTTGGAACAACATGAAGGTGAGTTCTGTTATGACGACTCTTGGAGAGGTTAGCATTGTAAAATACATGGCACTGAGACTTCCTACTGCCAATACATCCACAGACATGCTGCTGTGAGCATTTAAGAAATACTGCTACTGCACATATAACATATATGAAATAACCCCCATATATAACACAGTGGAGCTGGGGAAGGTGGAGGGTTTCTGAAGCGCGTTGCAACTGCTACAAAAAGCACTAGCCAAGTACTTGAACACTGAGCAGCAAGCTCATTGGCTGCTGTTGCGAAAAGAAACCAATCAGCTGCGCTATGTGAATGATGATGTAATTATATCAGATTGAGTTAGAACCTATTGGCCTGCGCCATCTAGAGTTTCATGACAGAACTTTGTATTAAATTATGACACAATTTTCACTTTTGGGTGAACTATCCCTTTAAAGGACACAAAACCAATGAGTGATTGTTGTAGTTTAAGGCTTTAGGGCTGTAAATACAAAGACATTAGGGAAGGTGGAGGGTTTCTGAAGCGCGTTGCAACTGCTACAAAAAGCACTAGCCAAGTACTTGAACACTGAGCAGCAAGCTCATTGGCTGCTGTTGCGAAAAGAAACCAATCAGCTGCGCTATGTGAATGATGATGTAATTATATCAGATTGAGTTAGAACCTATTGGCCTGCGCCATCTAGAGTTTCATGACAGAACTTTGTATTAAATTATGACACAATTTTCACTTTTGGGTGAACTATCCCTTTAAAGGACACAAAACCAATGAGTGATTGTTGTAGTTTAAGGCTTTAGGGCTGTAAATACAAAGACATTTCCAACAACGCTAAGAGAAAAGATGTTGTAGTTCGTGTTTGTGGATAATTTACCTTATCGCCCGTCTGCGCTTGACCTGGGGACAGTCCAGGATCCCCTTTTGCACCCTGGGACATAAACAAAATGCACAATGTTAATTCAGTTTGATGTTATATATTTAAGAAAACGGGCTGTCAAAGCATGTCTAAAATTCCATAAGATACAAGCAAACCAAGTTCTTTTGTGCTGACAGATTAAGGCACGTGATAACAGTGGATTTGGAGAGATTTAAGAGGCAAAAGCTGCTTCCTACATGTATGCAAACACACTAAACCTCCGAATAATACAGTGTTTAATCTATTATGCCGTGAATAAGATGATCAGAAATGGACTGTTGATATCTGAACCCATTCATTCATTACTTTATTAATCCATCTATCAATGCACCAATTATCACCATCAATCATTTTATCCATGCACATTAGCCATCAATCATGTGTTGATCAACATGAATCATCCATACATCCATAATCATTCACTGACTCCATTCAATGATTGATTCATACAATCTAATTTTGTACAATATTGTGCTTTTTGTACTACAAAATACTTTTTAATTGCATCTAAATGCAAAGAAGGTCACTGGAAGTTCACTGGAAGAAAAGGATCATAGCACGGACTAAATTTAGCATGTCAATCAAACAACTCCAAATCCATTCAGGTATGAATGAGAGTTTTAATCCTTGAAACGAGCAGTTTGACGGAAACACAATTGCTGTCAATCAACACTAGACAGCACAGATTTGATGCCTACGAAATGCAAAAAAAAAAAAAGCAAACCCTGCCATGATCTGCTTTTAACTACGTAATTCTTATTAATTTCTGTGACTTTTCCAGGTCTAGAAATCACACTTTTAAAATGAGGAAAATGTATATTCTTTTTAAAAAGGCAATTTTATTCATTCATGTCATTAGATGACAACATTTTTATTAAATGACATGACTTTTTCAGGTCTAGAAATCACACATTTATAATCCAAGTTCTTTTTAAAAGTGCAATGTTATTAATTTAAGTAATCAGATTATGTAATTTTTATTAAATTACCTGACTTTCCCTGGTCTAGAAATTCCACATTTAAAATGAGAAAAAAGTATATTATTTTTAAAAGGCAATTTTGTTCATGTCATTAGATTACATACAGTATCTCACAGAAGTGAGTACACCCCTCACATTTTTGTAAATATTTTATTATATCTTTTCATGTGACAACACTGAAGAAATGACACTTTGCTACAATGTAAAGTAGTGCGTGTACAGCTTGTATAACTGTGTAAATTTGCTGTCCCCTCAAAATAACTCAACACACAGCCATTAATGTCTAAACCGCTGGCCACAAAAGTGAGTACACCCCTAAGTGAAAATGTCTAAATTGGGCCCAAAGTGTCAATATTTTATGCACCCACCATTATTTTCCAGCACTGCCTTAACCCTCTTGAGCATGGAGTTCACCAGAGCTTCACAGGTTGCCACTGGAGTCTAAATAAATTATGTGACTTTTTCAGGTCTAGAAATCACAATTCTATAATTAGAATTAAAATGCTATTTCATTAATTTACGTGATTAGATTATGTAAATTGTATTAAATTACATGACTTTTCCAGGTCTAGAAATTAGGCTACCTCATATATCTAGGATTTCCGATGGAAAATAGTTGTTAAGGGAGTGAATTAAAATAAGAAATATATTGATTTTTGTTGTTTTATCTGATCTTAATGCTTGTTTTGTCTTATTTTCTATCATTTCAAGTCATCCTGGTTGAGAAACACTACCTCAGAGTTTCAGAAGAGATCTCAATGTCTCTCAGACTGGACAATATACTAAAGTCAATATGAACTCAAATACTGCTCATCTAATTCTCCCAATATCAAATTATTTTTATTTCTCCAAATTTATTTTTAGGAGAAACATAAGGATGAGATTTAACCTAAACATAACGGCGGTCTCCATTAAGTCTCCTGAGCTGTGAAAGAGCAGCATCAGAGCGTTAAATCTTTGCTTTAGGAAACCCTCGTCACACTGAGCTGCAATTAGTGGTGAAAGCGAGCGAGTGCAGTGTGGTTGTGGGAGCCCGTAGACGTCTGCTGCTGTAAATAAGCCACATCCACACGGGTTTACGCGCAACGCTACCCTCCAGACTCGCTCTGCTGCCACCGCCAGGCTTTACGAGCAACATCACTTCCAGTCGGGTCGTATTAAAGCATGCAGGGCTCAGTAAAGACCTGCACATGTTCAGCGTGACAGACGCACACAGAAACAGACAGACTGAAATCTCCAATGCAACTACTAATCTGACCAAATTAATTTGTCATGGAGAATTCGATCTAAAGGTAAATCAGAATTGTGTTTTGGTTTTTAGTCCACATGTACACATACACAAATCTACAATATACAGTCTTTCTCCTCTTGAAAATTGAGAAATAATACTGATGACATCATCCTGCACTACACAGTATGTTGTCCAATCAAATGTGCTCTAGGTTGAGAATGTCCCTCCCCCTGCAACCGACTCGCAAATAGCAAACCAACATTCATGGCAGCCATGTAACTAACGCTTTTAATTAAAAATAATAATGAAAAACAAAAAAAATATTTTTAAACATTTTTAAAGCTAACTGAAACAAAGACAAAAGAGCATAAAATTACAAAAAATCAAACCGAAATTAAAATGAAAACTGAAAATATGAAGAAAAAAACTCAAATAAAAAATGAAATATTTTTCAAAAGAAAAAACTAATAAAAATGGGAAAAGCACATAGCAAAATAAAAATAAAAATTCTACTTCAACTTCAATTAAAAATGCAAAAATTTAAATTTAATGAGAATGAGAGAATGAGAATGAGTTTTTATTGCCAGGTATGTTTACACATACGAGGAATTTGTTTTCATTGACTCACTTCAGGTCTGAAGGTCTCTATAATGAGCTGAGGAGTTGAATCAGGTGTGTGAGATGAGGGACAGTGCTGCTGCTCCAGGACAGTTTAGAAAACCACTGCATTTCAGAGACATGTTCTTAAATCTGACCAGTGGCGGCAGGGGCAGGGGAGGCAGGGGAGGCACAGCTTCCCCACAATTTTGAGGTGAAAATGGGAGGACGATTTAATGTTAATAAAATTCACAATTCGGAAAACGTTGCTTCCGTATTTTATACGGTAAAATTCCGGCAACTGCTTTTTACCGTAAATTTTACGGATTTTTTTTTACAGTGTAGCCTCCCTTCTGATATCAACCAATCATCACAGAGACGTACACTCTTAAAAATAAAGGTGCTTCAAAAGGTTCTTCAAGCGATGCCATAGAAGAACCATTTTTGGTTCCACAAAGAACCATTCAGTCAAAGGTTCTTAAAGAACCATCTCTTTCTTGCGTTTTTATAATCTGAAGAACCTTCTTTCGCCACAAAGAAGCTTTTGTGAAACAGAAAGGTTCTTCAGATGTTAAAGGTTCTTTATGGAACCATTTAAACAAAAAGGTTCTTCTATGGCATCGTGAAGCACTTTTTATAATAATAATAATCGGCAGGGATCGCAGACCAATACAATTAGTGTGCCTCCTCTATTTTAAAACCCACGAGCCGCCACTGAATCTGACATATATTACAAATCCTTACATACATGCACAGTTTTAGTGCAGCTTTAATTGCCTTTTTTGTTAACTTCGACACTCATCACTTCGACAGACACGATTGTTGGACCTCTTTTTCCACTGCTGGAAACCCCCCACAGGTTCATCACCTTTCAGGACACACCTGCCTCTTGATGGTGCACCTTCACACACACGTCGTTCACGTAACGTCACCACTGACACCAGGTTAAGTCAAAGGTTCAGTCCAGTGGAGTATATCATCTTTACCCAGAACACAGGGGTGAAAGGTCACGGACGAACCCTTGAGGAGTTTGAACCTGCAACCTTTCAGCTACCTCTATTGAAAACCATCGCAACAAGTTTGACTGAATGCCGACCCCTCTGACATCACGAACACATCACTCTACCGTTAACAATTCACGTATTTTACAAGAGTCATCACATTTCTAGCAGGGCTATTAGAACTCTAAAATAAAACCATAAAAAAAAAAAAAAAAAAAAAAAAAAAAAAAAATTGTAACTCAAAATACTCAAAATAAAATTTATTTAATAAAAGAAATCAGCTACTTAAAGTAACATTTCTCATTTTAATTTAGTTGAACTAAAGTACTAAAATAACTAAAACTTATAAATAAAAATAATAAAAACTATACAGACGCATTTAAAAAAAAATTATGCTAATAATAAAAAACAAAACAATAAACGCACTATAAAATTACCACAATTTTCACTAAAAAATTAAAGTCAAAACGGATTTTAAAAAAAAATCTTTACATAAAATATTATAATATATAATTTAATGAAAATAAAAATTCTAAATTTCAACAAAAATTATAATAGTATATCAATGATACCAAAAAACACTGATCTAAAATAGCTTGTTATGAATACTAAATTAAAATGAGTGTTAATTAAGTGTTATATCGAGGGATAGCATACCTCGGAATGTCGCGACTGACCAATCAGAATCAAGTATTCCAAGAGCCGTGTAATAAAGACACATACAAAATTTATAAATATGACAAACATACAACAACATTACCAAACCTTTAACTAATATTAAAAACAAAAACTTTATATAAAATTATATAATACAATTTTATAGAAAGAAAATTCTAAATGCCAACAAAAACTATAATAGTATATCAATGACACCAAAAAACACTGATCTAAAGCAGCTTGTTATGAATGTTAAATAATAATTTAAAATTAAATGTTAATTAAAAGTGTTAATAAAAATAAACCTGCTGCTCTGGGAACCACTGATGAAACGGAAACTATTAAAACTGAAAGTAGGAAAAACTTAAATTAAAATATTTTAAAAAGCTGATTTAAAATATTAATTAAACCTAAAAGTGAAAAAAAAAAAAAAATGAAAACTAGTTAGAAATATATAAAAAAAAAGCAAAATCTAATAAACATGACAAAAGCATATAAAATTAAAAAAAATTTTTTTTTATAAAAAACTGAAAATAAGAAAATAAAAGCTGACTGAAAATATGAATAAAAATGAATTAAAAAGTGTAAATAAAGGCGCTGCTCTAGGAATCACTGCGATGACGTCGATTTATTTGAGGTCAAAGTGAGTCCATCTGTTAAACAGCCCTGAATAAACCTGCAGCTCTCAACCAGGTGTGCTTTACATTTCTCCATGTTCTGACTCATGGATTCACACACACACACACACACACACACACACACACACACACACACACACACACACACACAGTCGTGGCATAGATATATTTTCCTCTCGTCTTTCAGCACTCTTTCCAGTGTTTTCCGAAGCCTCTGCATCACACACACAGCGACTGACACACACCATAACAAACCTTTATTACAAAACAAGAGCTATTCAGCTACAGAAGGTGGCGAGTTTGAACAAGAGGAGCGTCTCGAGCGGCCGCTGCACTCGTGTGACGGCACAGACTTGTTTCAGACTGCGGGATCCCACCGTGGGATATCATCAGAAACATTCCCTCCGGCGCCGGCCGGAAGAGGACGTACAGAGAGCAGAAAACGGGAACTTACCTTTGGACCAGGTAAACCAGGCGGCCCGGGACTCCCGTGAGGACCAGGTGGACCCTGAGAGACACAAAGACGGACAGCCTCTGTAAATGTACGTAACGTTCACACTTCACAAACTATCCTGCATTAGATTCATCTTGAACGGATTGCTGGAAGAAAACATCACATATTTATTCATAGTAAATTATGTTAGCAATTTTAGCAATATTAAATGCTAAAATTAGGTAACGTCACAAATATTGTGGTGAAGTTTCTGTTCGCTGGTACGAAACGCCCACTTTTCCAGATCAAATCAGCTGGATAATATCAAATCCCGTCCCATATTTCTTCTCAAATACCCTTTTCACACAGAAATACAATAATTTGAAGAACTAAAATGATTAAAACTAAAATAATACAAAGGCAAATAGAAATATAAAAAACTACTAAAACTGACAAAAGCATGCAATTACTAATACTAAAAAGAAAACTGAAAATATAAATATAAAAGCTCATTTGAAATATATATATATATATATATATATATATATATATACACATAATTCGTTTTTTGTTAATTGAAAAAAATAAAATTATGAATTTTTTTTTTAAATCTTTTATGGAGATAGAATTGTTGCATAATTCCAAATAAATAGATTATGATCCACAAATAAATGTAAAGAGATTAACAAAAAATGAAACATATTGACAAATAAATAGAAATTAAATTCACAAATAAATAAAATGAGATTTGCAAATAAAAAACATATTGACAAATATCTTTTTATGCCACAAACACAACTTCTCCTGCCATTCATTTGTGAATCGCTCGCTGTGCATTTGTGGATCGCGGAGCGCATTTGTGGATATTGAAACATTTCTAGCGTCGAAAAGCACCAATCAGAGAACAGCCACACTTTGCTGACCAATCACAGCACGTTCTCGCCATAACCAATCACATTTTGCTTTACATTCAGGTCGGTCTCGTCCGGTCATTCATCTGCATTGGCTCAAATAATGCAGGACCATAGATTATTAGTGTTTCTGAACAGATATTGAGTGTCTGGGATGATCCTGACAGAGGCCACCTGAGAATAAACCATCAATCACTGACTGACAGCAGCCGGAGAGCCTACAGACTCCAGAAACACGATCAACTCAAACATCATAAGGAAAGAGTGCAGAGACTGTAAATGTACAGAGATATAAGTGTATGTGTTCCTGCTGCCAGAAAAGCATAATACTGTAGTAAAGAGGTTCTCAACGACTGCATGACACAGCAGAGAAAACCCATGCTGAATGTATAATAAATAATAAAATGCAACTAAAATGGATACTAAGATAATTAATAAATAGGCTCATCAAACAGTTTGCATATGGTTTGTTGTTGATATGTTTTGTTGTCAAAAGCTGTGCATCCAACCAAACACAACACAACCCAGACTACTTCATGGTTTGTGTTTCGTGTGGTGAATTACTGGCTGCTGAGATCATGCAACCATCTACATTTAGACATGTAGACATTTAGAAATTGTTTAGAAATTCAGTCAAGGCCACGTTAATTTGGGTGTTTAATTTATGACCATTTTTCACTGGTTTATGAAAGCAACAGTGATACTGAGTTGGGTTTCCACTTATATAATGTTAATTATATTATGAATTATATATGAGTGCTTTTGTTTCAAAATAAATATAAATAAATATAGTTCCAAATAAAAAGAAAAATAAATAATTTTAAGTGAATAAATAAATATATATATGTAACCCTGCAGCACAAAAGCAGTGTTAAGTCGCTGGGGGATATTTGTAGCAATAGCCAACAATACATTGTATGGGTCAGAATTATTGATTTTTCTTTGATGCCAAAAATCATTAGGATATTAAGTAAAGATCATGTTCCAAGAAGATATTTTGTAAATTTCCTACCGTAAATATATAAAAACTAAAATTTTTGATTAGTAATATACATTGCTAAGAACTTCATTTGGACAACTTTATCTTTAATGATTTTCTCATTTTTTTAAAATTTTTTTGCACCCTCAGATTCCAGATTTTCAAATAGTTGTATCTCAGCCAAATATTGTCCTATCCTAACACACTATACATCAATGGAAAGCTTATTTATTATAAAACTCAATTTTACCCTTATGACTGGTTTTGTGGTCCAGGGTCATATATATATATCAGGAGCGTTTCCTCATAGGAGGCAGTGTCTCCTCAAAATATTGGATGAGAAAAAAATTCATAGTACAAAAATAAAACAAAGCCAGTATTACAAAATATATAAAAAAGTGTATAAATCACTTGTTTTTCTAAAGAAACAATGTCCAACAGCGACACCAGCAGGTAAAGTTACAGTGGGAGTCCACGTCTCTCTCGCCTCCCATGAGCCCATTGAGTTTTAACAGACCCCCTAAAATGTGCGGTGAGTTTGGTGGGAGGTAATTGGGAATGGATGGGGGAAAATCACGTGAGAAGAGGCAATGCCTACATCGTGGTATGATTGGATCTGACTGGTTATGATCGGCTGTGATTGGTTCATTCGATAAATCCCGCCTCTTGTGTTCATGTCCGCGTTCGCGAATCAGTCTGAATGAACGATATAATGGTGTTAATGGGAAGACTCATTTAAGAAAGTAAGTAAACAACTCATAGATTTAAATATAACCACTTTATTACGTCAAAATAAGACTTAAAATGGCCTGAAAACATGATGTGTGGGAGATTTTAGTGAGTAACCAGCTTGGTGAAATTTAATGTAAATCTCTGTGTCTGTGATCAATATTTACCGAGCTTTTATGACCGAATAATTAACAGTTAACAATTAAAAAGAATAGCTGAACATAAGTTCACAAATAAAATATATTGTTTAAATTGTTACTGCCTTGAGTTATTATTTTGGAATAAATGCAAACTGCTTAAAACACTTGATTGTTTAATAATGGGGAAAACAAGCAAGACATACGGATGCTGCATGAATCCGAACACAGGGAAACAGGATTCACCCCGCGACAAACAACCAAACACTGATGCATTAGAGCGGAGTGTCTTACCCGCAGTCCTCTCTTTCCAGGGGGTCCGGGGAGACCTGGGGGGCCAATGGGACCCTGCAGAGAAACACAGAAAATGAGGAAGAGAGATTGATTCCTGAAAAACTGTTTCTGAACAGCACAAGAGAGAGCGTTATTGGAGCCGCGTGTCTGACTCCCGCTTTCAACACAGAAAAGCACGTCTGGCATCTGAGAGAGACGAACATGAGCACAGATTAATGAACCGTGGGTCATCACTACCTCCTGCTGGTGACAGAGGGATCGGTCTGTAACAGTGTTTGTCTCTGCTCTGGTTCACAGGTCTTCTCGGTATGGTAGCACACATGATGTTCACTACAGCGTTCCAGCTGACCGTCAGTCTGGGCCCAGAGGACTGGAAGCCCCAGAACTGGGACTACAGCTGGTCTTACATGTACGTTCACTCATGTCATGCTTTCTGTTGTCTAGGTTTAATAAGCATTAGAATGAAGCCCAGGGATGCATGTCTTGGGGGTTTTAACTGCTCTGGAAACAATGCGCTGCAAATGCAAAACCAATATTAACAATGCTTGAATGTGAGCTCAAAATTAGAATAGAACAACAGAATAGAATAGAAAAATGTACACAATGCTTGGTAAAGTTAAATAAGTCACCTGTGATTGGTTCATGCGATAAATCCCGCCTATTGTGTTTGTGCACGTTCCACATTCGTGAATCACTCTGAATGAACAATATCAATTCATTAATAAGATTTAATAAGCATAAGACCATCAATAAGAAGACTAATTGAAAAAAAGTAAGTAAACAAGTCCCACACATAGATATAACCACTTTATGTCAAAATAATGCTTAACATGGCATGAAAACATGATCTGTGGGAGTTTTTAGTGAGTAACCAGCTTGGTGAAATTTAATGTAAATCTCTGTGTCTGTGATCAATATTTACCGAGCTTTTATGACCGAATAATTAACAGTTAACAATTAAAAAGAATAGCTGAACATAAGTTCACAAATAAAATATATTGTTTAAATTGTTACTGCCTTGAGTTATTATTTTGGAATAAATGCAAACTGCTTAAAACACTTGATTGTTTAATAATGGGGAAAACAAGCAAGACATACGGATGCTGCATGAATCCGAACACAGGGAAACAGGATTCACCCCGCGACAAACAACCAAACACTGATGCATTAGAGCGGAGTGTCTTACCCGCAGTCCTCTCTTTCCAGGGGGTCCGGGGAGACCTGGGGGGCCAATGGGACCCTGCAGAGAAACACAGAAAATGAGGAAGAGAGATTGATTCCTGAAAAACTGTTTCTGAACAGCACAAGAGAGAGCGTTATTGGAGCCGCGTGTCTGACTCCCGCTTTCAACACAGAAAAGCACGTCTGGCATCTGAGAGAGACGAACATGAGCACAGATTAATGAACACCAATAATTCGATTCATGCAGAATTACTGAGACACAAGCTGCTTTAGTGGTGGTTAGAGATGTGGGCTGGCGAGCGTGACGGTATATATGGTGTGAAAACATGGAGAAATATTAAATACAGACACTTATTAAATACATAAGTCCAAAATGGGAATAAGCATTAATTAAGTGCCTTTGTTTGCTTTCATCAAGTTCCAAAAATAAATAAATAAATGTTAAAAGTCCAAAAAGTTCCAAATGAAAAGATAAAATTTCAATTTTTTTATACATAAAATTATTTAATTTAAATATTTATTATTTATGTTTTAAAATTATATTGTATTATTTAAACAATATTTATTATGTATATATAGACATTATATTTATACTAAATTATATATAAATATATAATTTTATATATAAATATAATTTATACATTAAGTAAATTACACAATACACACACATATTATAGATATGTTACAGATATGCTATAATAGATAGATAGATAGATTTAGCAAATAAATAACCACTAAAATTAGCAAAGACTTGTCCTTAGTACAAAATATGTGATATAATGACAGTCAGAACATAGCTGATGTTTAATAAACCACTGTGTGCAGCAGTATTTTGGACCAATGATGTCTTCTCTGCTACCTAGCATGATACTCGAAAATAGAAACCAAGAGACTGACCAAATGTCCTGTCGGACAGCGCTGACAGAATGAAAACATACTTCCAAATGTGGCTCTTGTAAACATAACTATTTAGGAGCAATCGCATGTCTATAAAAAACCCTCCATTAAAAGCTACCATTAACCTGATGCTCTGATGCTCATTAGCCTTTGAGGAACGACACACAGCTACAGCATCGCTAACTAAACAACCCTGATTCTTTTATAGCATGCATTTTAAAAGCCTCATAAAAGGACATTAAAAATTCACACTGAACTGCTGTTCTGTACTCAACACCGCTGATCATCAGTAAATCATTTTTTTGGATGTTGGTGAAGCTTAAATGGCAAGCTTCATAAGAACATGGTTTCACTGGTCCATCACTAACCACCACTAACCATCACTAACCAGCACGAGCAAACATGTCAGTTCAGCAGGGCTGTTTAATCACCTTCTGATGGGACAGAGAAGAGAGTCTATGTTCAATGCTATCTAACACCTGTTTTTTCCAGAAGAAACCAACAAAACAGTTTATTCACTCTGTGTGTCCACAGGTGGAACCACTACAAACGCGAGTTTGATGTTTGACAACACTTGGAGACAATAAAAGTTTAAAGTTTAGTGCTTGCAACAACATACAGCTGACAACTATTTAGACCAGATAGGCTCTTTTGCCAAGGTGACCAGTGATTGATTTGTAGTCAATGTAAGGTGATTGTTAAGTGTGACAGCTGCTACAAACATGCAGTACATTGAGTGTCGACCAGCAACATTTCTAACATATTGGTATACATTTACTTACATCGTCCACTCCTGGTACAAGAGTGCACAAGTGCTTTTCACATTTAAACATTTTATATATTACTTTAAAGCTGCTTAACTGAAAATAATGCCTTAGTACTAGGGTTGGGGGATATAGCTTAAAAATAATTAAATATTTTTTTTAAATAAAATGTAATATTTTTCAATGTCAATATTAAATTAAAGCATATTATTATGCATAAATAAATAAAAATTAAATGCAAAAATTCATGCATAAATGCATGCATCAATGACTAAATAAATGCATGCATACTTAAAATTTTATATATTACTTTAAAGCTGCTTAACTGAAAATAATGCCTTAGTACTAGGGTTGGGGGATATAGCTTAAAAATAATTAAATATTTTTTAAAAATTAAATGTAATATTTTTCAATGTCAATATTAAATTAAAGCATATTATTATGCATAAATAAATAAAAATTAAATGCAAAAATTCATGCATAAATGCATGCATCAATGACTAAATAAATGCATGCATACTTAAATGCATAAATAAATGCATAAACATGTAAATAAATAAATGCATAAATACATTTATCAATCAATCAATCAATCTTTGGAACAAAAAATTAATATTTTTGACTAAAATAACTGTTTAAAACTCTAGTTAAAAATAATTAAGACATGTTTTCCACACTGTTATTCACTAAATAAACACAATGATGAAAGATGCACTAACATGTAGAAAATACATAGTACACTACATATGTAGATACATATGTTCTGTACATAATATCGACATACAAACAATATTTATCTACATAAATTGTGTACTATACGTGTGTGTGTGTGTGTGTGTGTGTACTGTATGCATTGTATTTATGTACATACATGTATGTATGTACATAAAGCCACACTTAGACTTATGTAAAGGCCTTAGATGAGAGTGGCAGCAAAGAAAATTCCCAGATATGGCCCTGTGTTATGACAACCATTATTCAAGACTCACATAAACAAAGCCTCACAGGTTTTTGAAAGCACCATTCGTCCACCTAATGTGCGTCTTATGTTTTGGCTGCTTATTGACAGAAGTGTGTGTAGGAACATCTGGAACGGAGGTTAATCGTGCTCAGCCTATCAGAGAAGACTAAATGTTTCGGGGCCATGCAGCTGCGTTCAGGGCCGACAGAGATCTGTGGAAACTCTGAGACAGCAAACCGCCTGAACACCGCAGGTGAATCTACATGTTCAGTAATCAAACCCATGTTGAAAGAGATGCATTGGTCTACAGTTTGCTCTCACAAACAGTTACATGGCTAAAACCCCTCTAAAACCATCAAGACAGACCAGGTAATCTCCCTAAACAGGCTTGAGCTGGAAAGTAAGAGTGCTTTGGATAAATGACAGAATTAATTATTAAAATGTCATTAGATATTTTAAGAAACTGATTGCTGTGCTATGGAAACAAAAATCACATAGCTATCCATCTCATTCATTGATTTGTACCTTCGAGGCATAATTAGAGTTACAACAGGAGAGGAAAGTGCAGTGAAATGCTGACTTTGGATAGTCCCAGCTGGTGAATTTACCTCCCCCAGTTCTTCCAAGACAGGAATGCACCGTATCCCTCGGCCAAGTGAGAGCACTTAGGGTGACGTCCAAGAAAAATATTCACAAAGTCATGTCTCATATCCACATATCCTCACACGAGCCACTTATGCAAACACCTTGGTGTTCCACACACAAACGCGCAGGCAACTGTTTAAACATGAATAAAACATTAATTTATAGGAGCTTCAGAGCGTCATCGTAATATTTTCCAAAAAGATAATCCGGCTTCTGGCTCGTATCGTCGCAATGACTAAATAAATGCATGCATACTTAAATGCATAAATAAATGCATAAACGTGTAAATAAATAAATAAATAAATGCATAAATACATTTATCAATCAATCAATCAATCTTTGGAACAAAACATTAATATTTTTGACTAAAATAACTGTTTAAAATAGTTAAAAATAATTAAGACATGTTTTCCACACTGTTATTCACTAAATAAACACAATGATGAAAGATGCACTAACATGTAGAAAATAAAATCTGTACATAATATCGACATACAATATTTATCTACATAAATTGTGTACTATACGTGTGTGTGTGTGTGTGTGTGTGTGTGTGTGTACTGTATGCATTGTATTTATGTACATACATGTATGTATGTACATAAAGCCACACTTAGACTTATGTAAAGGCCTTAGATGAGAGTGGCAGCAAAGAAAATTCCCAGATATGGCCCTGTGTTATGACAACCATTATTCAAGACTCACATAAACAAAGCCTCACAGGTTTTTGAAAGCACCATTCGTCCACCTAATGTGCGTCTTATGTTTTGGCTGCTTATTGACAGAAGTGTGTGTAGGAACATCTGGAACGGAGGTTAATCGTGCTCAGCCTATCAGAGAAGACTAAATGTTTCGGGGCCATGCAGCTGCGTTCAGGGCCGACAGAGATCTGTGGAAACTCTGAGACAGCAAACCGCCTGAACACCGCAGGTGAATCTACATGTTCAGTAATCAAACCCATGTTGAAAGAGATGCATTGGTCTACAGTTTGCTCTCACAAACAGTTACATGGCTAAAACCCCTCTAAAACCATCAAGACAGACCAGGTAATCTCCCTAAACAGGCTTGAGCTGGAAAGTAAGAGTGCTTTGGATAAATGACAGAATTAATTATTAAAATGTCATTAGATATTTTAAGAAACTGATTGCTGTGCTATGGAAACAAAAATCACATAGCTATCCATCTCATTCATTGATTTGTACCTTCGAGGCATAATTAGAGTTACAACAGGAGAGGAAAGTGCAGTGAAATGCTGACTTTGGATAGTCCCAGCTGGTGAATTTACCTCCCCCAGTTCTTCCAAGACAGGAATGCACCGTATCCCTCGGCCAAGTGAGAGCACTTAGGGTGACGTCCAAGAAAAATATTCACAAAGTTATGTCTCATATCCACATATCCTCACACGAGCCACTTATGCAAACACCTTGGTGTTCCACACACAAACGCGCAGGCAACTGTTTAAACATGAATAAAACATTAATTTATAGGAGCTTCAGAGCGTCATCGTAATATTTTCCAAAAAGATAATCCGGCTTCTGGCTCGTATCGTCGTTCGTTTGTTAGCGTGATTGAACATATTCTGGGATTCTGGAACTGAGGTTCACAATGGCCTACTGACCTACACTTGATATACAACTGCGCTCCACCCTGCAGTTCTGCTGTTGAGAGTTTATTAAATGTAGTTTTCTATATTTAGCATTTGCTCTGACTAAATCGAGCCATATTCCCTATGCTATAACAGTGAGAGAAGCAAGGAGAAAGAAGTCATGCTGTACTAGTATAGCAGAGCCATAACCGAGAGCTAAGCTAGTGCTAATTCATGACAGGCCTATTTACCATCATTCACTCTGGCAGCACACAAATGATGAATTATATACATCAAACTTCATGTGAACACCAAATCAGATCATTTTGTTCTAGTATACCATAGCTGTAAATTGAGATCTTTTTTCAAGTTGCCCTAAAGTCCTCTTGGGAAATTATAAAAAATTGACACTTTGGGAAATATCTTACTTTTTCTCAATTCTTCACTACCCAACATAGCCTCATGTCTTTGATGGGTGGTGAAAAAGAGAGTAATGAAAATCCAATACGCACAATCGAAAAGTTAATCTATGTCCTTCATCATTTGTGTGCTGCTATAAAGAATGATGGGAAATGTAGGTTCACCAAATAGGCCTGGGTTCACATAAATGGGCTGAATAGGTAGCATTTTCTAGCAAGCTTTAACACTGTTCATCAACAGATAAACTAAACTGTACCATCAACATTCACCATTACAGCTTATCTCAATGACTAGCAATGATACGCCTCCGGCTCGGAAAGAAACCCCAGAGTTTCTCCACAACTAATTACAACATTGTGGTGCCATTCGTGTGCGCTCATCTCATAAACATGATCATCATGACATGACTTTGAAAGCAGAATTAGTCTAGACTGAGTGTTTTGACATCACCTGGTTATCTTGTTGCTAGGTAGGGCAAACCCCATTACAAATGGAGGAGTAAATTAGCACATCAGTCAAATTACAGCATGAGCAACTGGCAGCAACTTGAAACATGCTATTATAACCACCTGAAAGTCCAGGAGGACAAAAACAAACTATCACCTTGCTTCTAAATCACTACCTGTCACCGACAAATTATTTACTACTTATCTTGCCCAGTAGACTCCTGATCAAATATGACTTGCAGAAACTCAGCCAAGTGCATGCTCTCTCTCTCAAAGAGCTTTTCATTCTGCCCAAGAAAAAGCCATAAATTAGCTTGAACTCTTGTGCATTGTAATTTGGATGAATTCTCAAGTAGCGCTTTGCTCTGGCTTGCAGCAACTTGATTATGGAAGTCATTCAGAAACATGAGAAAGATAATCAGACAGTACTTACTGGAGGACCCTGTTCTCCTTTAGGACCAACAAATCCATCGTAGTCAAAGAAATATTCGTCTTCTTCAAAACCATAGTCGTATCCGTAACCCTCCGAGTATCCTGCATCGTGCTCCCCCTCCTGGACCTGTTCCTCAGATTGGTCCACCAGGTTGTAGCTGCTCTCTTCACGGTAGAGGATGGTGCTGTTCACTTTAGGATTGGTCTGGAGTAGCTCTTTGTTGAATTGGTGGGCTCTATCGTCATTCCTCAAGGCCTCTTTCAAATGGCTCTGCTTGATGATGGTGATCAAATCCGGCGTGGCCCGAGTTGCTCTGGGCTTCTTGAGAAGTAGCTGATTCTCAGTGACATTTTCACCATCAAGGTTCTTGTCTGTTGTGGGGTTGCTCGTGGAAGTCTCTGGAGTGAAGTAGAGGGATTGCACCTTGCTGAATGGTCTTGACGATGGGTTCATGTGCCTAGGTGTGTTGGAGCGAAACATTGGAGAGCTTGTGGTTGAAAACTGGTCAAAAAGTGCTGTGGGAATAGAGTTGGTGGCCGTAGTGGAGTGATCAGCAAGAGTTGGGATAAATCTCTGAGAGTGTGAATCCAAAGAGCTGCGGTGGAACTTTGGGGAAGGTGAAACTGATGGAAATGGGGACTCTGAGCTCCCTGACAGAGATCGGAAGGTGTCGGACAGTCTGCACTGCTTTTTAACATAGTCACAGTAGTGCACCGCAGCTTGGGCGGAGGGGTAAATATCCAGCTGGCATAATGCTCCTTCAAACTGCACCATCCTGGAGTCCATCCTTCCAACAGAGAGGCGGCCTTCAGAGCTCAACGTCTGTGGACGGGTCAGCGTTTCCTCGCCATACTGCACAGCCCCGCAGCGTGCATAGAAAGATACGGAGCGTGGCCGGACCCCCACAGAGAAGGAGTGCCACTGTCCATCTTGAACATCGTACTTAAAGTAGATTGACGCTTTCTCTCCCGTGTAAACCACTACCCTTCCGGGCCGGAGCTGCAAGCCGAACTGCAGTCTGTCCCTGCCATCCCGCACACTAAAAATAAAGGCATTGTTCGCTCGCCAGGAGCTTAAACTCACTATGATAGAAAACTCCTCCTCCACGCCTGCGGGGATCAGGTCCACTGATGGGGCCTCAATAAGGGAATCCTGTCTGAGGACAACCCCAAAACCAGGGGGCAGGATGGACAGAGATGAAGCAAGGGAGGAGAGGTAAGGTGTCCCGGAAGAGTGTATGTCTCTGCGACCCGAAAGGCCCAGCTGATGAATAAGGTCTACACCTTGAGAGAAAGAAAGAGACAATTGTAAGCAACAAGCTAAGCAGGGTTTGGCTAGGTAAACACCACAAGAAAGACATTCGTTGCAAGTTTGTTGTATGGTTGGTTCTGCTAGGGTGTTCAAAGTGGTTTTTAGCATGATGCTAGAGTGTCCCAAGTTTGTTCAAACCTCTAAACTAAAGGATGAGCAGTAGAGATTAACAACTAGTCCACAGCTTTAATTTAAATCGGTTAAATATTTAAATTTGGCTGACAGTCACCATAAAACATTTTCTGATTTAGAAGGCCTCTATAATACAAACAACACAAGCGGCTTTGTTAAATATGTGCTTTGACATACATGACATCACAAATTACCCATGAGCCCTTGCATAGCATCTGTGGTCCAGATGAAGAGAGAAAATGAGAGGAAAGTGGGGGTCTGAAACCACACATCTCTTTTCTCTCTTTCTCTTTCTGTGTGGTTCCTTCTTTCTTTTTTCTGTCAAATGTTATTAGTCTGTGTGCATCTGAGTGGCCAGAGAGATGAGAAAGAACATTCTGAGGAACTAATCCCTCGTCATATCTGTTTAGTTTAGACCAGGGCTCTTCAATTCCAGTCCTGGGGGGCAGATGTCCTGCGGACTTTAGTTCCAATCCTAATTAAACACACCTGTATGTAATTTGCAAGTATTTCTGAACACTGTAAAAGACTTGTTCCAGGGTACTTGATGGGGTTGGATTTAAACTCTGCAGCACACCGTCCCGGAGTTGAAGAGTCCTGGTTTAGATTCAAATGAAAAACTTATCGCACATAATTTTGTTTGGATGTTAGATACTTTCTTGTGCCCCAGTTTAATCTGCAGAGACAATTAAGTAAAGCATTCATAAGATGACTTCCTGAACAGTGCAAATATCCATTTGCACCTTGAATGAGCTATCCGTTAGCTAGGGCTGCACGATTATGACAAAAATCATAATTGTCAATTATTCCTTTGAGACTGTAATTGCGATTATTAATTACGATTATCACAATTTACATAGAATGATGTTTATACCACTGTTTGAAGCAACCGCATGCCATATTTTTAGATGAAAATAAACAAATTGAAAAAACTTTTAAACTTTTAATTTGACTTTTTATTGCTTTTCTATAGTATTAAGCCTCAAATGGCATCTATACATTGTATTGGTTTCTTCTTTAAATAAAACAGTAAAAATATTCATGGTATTATATTGTTATACTATTGGCGCCGATGGCTTTGTGGGCAGCACACCGACATGTAACGCCTTTGCGCTTTGGGCATTCCGAGTTCGAGTCCCGGCTCGTGGACCTTTCCTGATCCCACCCCCCTGTCTCTCTCTCTCACCCACTTTGCTTCCTGTCGACCTACTGTCCTATCTAAATAAAAGGCATAAAACCCCAAAAATAAATCTTATAATGTTATACTAAAACTAAAATTAAAACAATGGAAAAACCCTTAAGATAACAAAAACACATCTTAAGCATGTAGAATAATGATTACGTAATTGTGCCATCCGTAAATTAGAAATTTGATTAATTGTGCAGCCCTACTATTAGCATCAAATTTTTTGACCTGTCTAAACAACAAAAGTCACAGACATTTAGGTGGACGCTCTAGTGGAGCTTCAGTGAATGCATATTACTTACTAATATTTTTAGGACAAATTAGTTTTATCTAAATGCTTGCTCCTAACCCAGACTTACCCACTTACACCCATTAACTGATAAGGCACGCTCTGGTTTGGGGTGGACTGATCTAAATGGAATTTGGACTTAAAGGAATTTGGACATTTTTGCACCGGAGTCACCAAACAGAACTGCATGCTTTAAATTTTTTCAAGACCAACAGATAGTCTAATGCATTGGTTGAGTCCGTGGTGCTGAGTTGGGATGTAACAGTGTTTAATAGCGCCACAGAGTCTCAGCCTTACACTTGTCAGGGAAATCAACCTACAAATGGTTTACCTACTGTCTCCACATATTAAGGTAGGATAGAAGCATTTTAACATCAATGAAATTACACACTTTGTTAAATACAACACACGACTGGGTTAGCAGTAGTATTTGTAAAATACTTACTTTTAACCCAGACTTTCCCACTTGTACCCATTAATTGATAAGGTAAGCCCTTGTTCTACAGAATTTGGACTTGCAAGTAACGTTTGCAATTTCTGTACCACCAGTGTCACCAAACAGAATTGCACATGTTCAACTTCAAATGTTTTCAAGACCAACAAACTTGGTCCATGTTGCTCTCTCGGGCTGGTTAGGATGCTCATGCAAACCTAACAATGTTCAATACAGTCATACTTTTCAGGGGAATTAACCTACAAATGGTTTACCTGCTGTCTCTGTATATTAAGCTAGAACAGAAGCATTTGAACAATGAGGAAATTTCACACTCCTACTTTAAATACATCATAAAGTTATACAGGTCTGAGGGCAGCAGAGTAGATCCATAAGGAACTACAGCAAGTCTGTTTTTGAGATCAAGTGAAAATGAAAAGTGAAGTGAGGCCAAGTATAGTGTCCCATACTCGCAATTTGTGCTCTGCATTTAACCCATCCAAGGGTGCACACACAGCAGTGAGTAGTGAACCAACACACACACACACACGGGGGCAGGATGGACAGAGATGAAGCAAGGGAGGGGAGGTAAGGTGTCCCGGAAGAGTGTATGTCTCTGCGACCCGAAAGGCCCAGCTGATGAATAAGGTCTACACCTTGAGAGAAAGAAAGAGACAATTGTAAGCAACAAGCTAAGCAGGGTTTGGCTAGGTAAACACCACAAGAAAGACATTCGTTGCAAGTTTGTTGTATGGTTGGTTCTGCTAGGGTGTTCAAAGTGGTTTTTAGCATGATGCTAGAGTGTCCCAAGTTTGTTCAAACCTCTAAACTAAAGGATGAGCAGTAGAGATTAACAACTAGTCCACAGCTTTAATTTAAATCGGTTAAATATTTAAATTTGGCTGACAGTCACCATAAAACATTTTCTGATTTAGAAGGCCTCTATAATACAAACAACACAAGCGGCTTTGTTAAATATGTGCTTTGACATACATGACATCACAAATTACCCATGAGCCCTTGCATAGCATCTGTGGTCCAGATGAAGAGAGAAAATGAGAGGAAAGTGGGGGTCTGAAACCACACATCTCTTTTCTCTCTTTCTCTTTCTGTGTGGTTCCTTCTTTCTTTTTTCTGTCAAATGTTATTAGTCTGTGTGCATCTGAGTGGCCAGAGAGATGAGAAAGAACATTCTGAGGAACTAATCCCTCGTCATATCTGTTTAGTTTAGACCAGGGCTCTTCAATTCCAGTCCTGGGGGGCAGATGTCCTGCGGACTTTAGTTCCAATCCTAATTAAACACACCTGTATGTAATTTGCAAGTATTTCTGAACACTGTAAAAGACTTGTTCCAGGGTACTTGATGGGGTTGGATTTAAACTCTGCAGCACACCGTCCCGGAGTTGAAGAGTCCTGGTTTAGATTCAAATGAAAAACTTATCGCACATAATTTTGTTTGGATGTTAGATACTTTCTTGTGCCCCAGTTTAATCTGCAGAGACAATTAAGTAAAGCATTCATAAGATGACTTCCTGAACAGTGCAAATATCCATTTGCACCTTGAATGAGCTATCCGTTAGCTAGGGCTGCACGATTATGACAAAAATCATAATTGTCAATTATTCCTTTGAGACTGTAATTGCGATCATTAATTACGATTATCACAATTTACATAGAATGATGTTTATACCACTGTTTGAAGCAACCGCATGCCATATTTTTAGATGAAAATAAACAAATTGAAAAAACTTTTAAACTTTTAATTTTACTTTTTATTGCTTTTCTATAGTATTAAGCCTCAAATGTCATCTATACATTGTATTGGTTTCTTCTTTAAATAAAACAGTAAAAATATTCATGGTATTATATTGTTATACTATTGGCGCCGATGGCTTTGTGGGCAGCGCACTGACATGTAACACCTTTGCGCTTCGGGCATTCCGAGTTCGAGTCCCGGCTCGTGGACCTTTCCTGATCCCACCCCCCTGTCTCTCTCTCTCACCCACTTTGCTTCCTGTCGACCTACTGTCCTATCTAAATAAAAGGCATAAAACCCCAAAAATAAATCTTATAATGTTATACTAAAACTAAAATTAAAACAATGGAAAAACCCTTAAGATAACAAAAACACATCTTAAGCATGTAGAATAATGATTACGTAATTGTGCCATCCGTAAATTAGAAATTTGATTAATTGTGCAGCCCTACTATTAGCATCAAATTTTTTGACCTGTCTAAACAACAAAAGTCACAGACATTTAGGTGGACGCTCTAGTGGAGCTTCAGTGAATGCATATTACTTACTAATATTTTTAGGACAAATTAGTTTTATCTAAATGCTTGCTCCTAACCCAGACTTACCCACTTACACCCATTAACTGATAAGGCACGCTCTGGTTTGGGGTGGACTGATCTAAATGGAATTTGGACTTAAAGGAATTTGGACATTTTTGCACCGGAGTCACCAAACAGAACTGCATGCTTTAAATTTTTTCAAGACCAACAGATAGTCTAATGCATTGGTTGAGTCCGTGGTGCTGAGTTGGGATGTAACAGTGTTTAATAGCGCCACAGAGTCTCAGCCTTACACTTGTCAGGGAAATCAACCTACAAATGGTTTACCTACTGTCTCCACATATTAAGGTAGGATAGAAGCATTTTAACATCAATGAAATTACACACTTTGTTAAATACAACACACGACTGGGTTAGCAGTAGTATTTGTAAAATACTTACTTTTAACCCAGACTTTCCCACTTGTACCCATTAATTGATAAGGTAAGCCCTTGTTCTACAGAATTTGGACTTGCAAGTAACGTTTGCAATTTCTGTACCACCAGTGTCACCAAACAGAATTGCACATGTTCAACTTCAAATGTTTTCAAGACCAACAAACTTGGTCCATGTTGCTCTCTCGGGCTGGTTAGGATGCTCATGCAAACCTAACAATGTTCAATACAGTCATACTTTTCAGGGGAATTAACCTACAAATGGTTTACCTGCTGTCTCTGTATATTAAGCTAGAACAGAAGCATTTGAACAATGAGGAAATTGCACACTCCTACTTTAAATACATCATAAAGTTATACAGGCCTGAGGGCAGCAGAGTAGATCCATAAGGAACTACAGCAAGTCTGTTTTTGAGATCAAGTGAAAATGAAAAGTGAAGTGAGGCCAAGTATAGTGTCCCATACTCGCAATTTGTGCTCTGCATTTAACCCATCCAAGGGTGCACACACAGCAGTGAGTAGTGAACCAACACACACACACACACACCGTGAACACACACC